CTGTGAGATATTCAAAGAGGTTACAGAAAGTATTAACTGTTCCGTGAAAGTGGTCTGAGGAAAACAGACAAGTGACTTTTTCATGCAGAGGGACGTTTTTTGAAATTGACCAAAGTTGGACTCATCTAGTTTCCTTTGAGTAGAGGGGTTCCTATTGTAAATGTCTGTTTGTTATGTAGCAGTCTGATGGATTTTTAGGTTCATCATTAACCGCTTGGATTTAAATGCTTTATCTGATGAAAAACATTTGGAAATGTGCTTACTGTATGCCTAACCATTTTCAATTAATTGTATTCAGAACAACACATGTACCACCCAAATTTTGAGCATTTTAAAAATAAATGTGGGATTTTGAAATAATTTTGAGAGCGACAGTTTTCTCCAAATACTCGACCAATCCTTGGAAAAACTACCCAGCCAAGCTGCAGCAGACTTCCCTTCAGAGGTTGTGTATTTTTTTTGTAAAATGAACCACTCCACATTCACTGATGTGTTGGCTTTATTTATAAAGAGTTATGTAAATTATATTCTTTTATTCTTTGTTTTTCCCGTGTTTTCATGTTTTATTATCGCTCTGTCTCTTGCATTGTGTGCACTAAATGCAATGTTCACTTGTGCTGCACAATAAAGTCTTTCCTTAACAACACCGTTTTCCTGTGAGGACTTTTACCTGAAGTTCTGTATCATTGGAGCATTGATGTAACCAGTAATATGAAAAAACAACAACATGAGGATGGTAGAGAAGGTGAGTGATTTTTAGGAACATGAGGGATCAGCGAGCCACAATGGGAGGAATGGGTGCAGGGTGTTCAGGGGGAAGTTCTATGGGATGAGGCCGGGTGGGATGAGGACAGTTTTTATAAGGTCCTGCTGTGTCAGCGGACTCTCTGCTCACTGGGAGCAATAACTCTGAACTCTAGTGAAGTGGACCAGCAGGCCAAAGAATATGCTAAATCAATCAGGAATACATAGGTCCATATTTTTCCAATTTCGTCAAGAGTATATGCTCAATAAACATCAGTTTTGGTCTGAATGATTTGTGAAATTTGACCTAACTAAAAGCCTGAGTTTCTTCAGAGAAGTCATATTCTCACCCGGTTTACTGAAGCAGGCAGATTGAGAGAAAAAAATCCAGGTATACCAGGTGACAATGATAACTGGATGGCTCTGTAATGTGTTGTTTTCCAACTTTGCCTTCAAAATCATAGAAAAGATTTAAGCCACTTTGAGGAACTTTCCGCTTGTTCATTTTGGCGCCCCCTGTGGACAAAGTGATACCTCTGCTCTCTTTTCTGATTTTGTCCATACATGTTTTAAGACATGTAGGTTGTAAAAATGCATTACTTCTGATTTCGGTCCCTTTCATACAAACTCCTAACAAGGGCTTTAAGTTGTATGGTAATTATCTACTTTCATTTCTCCAGGATGTGCTGTTAATACTTAATAATATAGTATATGTTTTTGTTTTTATTGTCTTATAATAATGGTCCAAAGATCTGATTAAGGCTGTTGTTCAAATTTATAAGCAGAACTCGAACTCAGTACTGTGTCAGACATCATTACAAAAAACTGCAGTTATTGATATTAAGACACAGCAAAGACACAGACAAACAATGTGACAATGCAGACATTTGTCACAAAGACATTTCTATGACATAAAAGAGACCTTTCTTTAGGTAATAACATTGAATTATTAGACTATCTTTAAAAGACTCCTCTGAAAAACATAAAGTGTTCGACAACTCCCCGATCTTTGACATGTCAATATGTGGTATAATGTTGTGAAGCTGTGATTCTGAGTCCCATTTAAACACCTGGATGAACATCTGCCTCAGAGAAGGACAGAGCGCCTACCTCCAGAGAGAACCCCACTCCCCCACTTAAAGGGCGACAGATTGCAGGTCTGTAAAATTGTCCATAATGAGCAAATTGTCACAAAGATCAACAGCTTGTGTCAGTGAAAACTACCAGGTGTTTGCACTGACTCCATGTTGAACAAACACTGCTGTGCAGCTCAGACTCCTCAGAACTGAACTTAAACTTGCACTCCTAAAGTGAATCAATTACCTATTCAAGTTTTTAATAACAGTAGAGTTAATTCATTACATTCCTTAAGCATACTTTAACTTTAAGTACACTTTTAGTCTTGTCAGCGTCTGTTAGTAACACTGCTTCGTGCCTGAATAAATATTTCTCTTATGTTGCAATTTTCCGTGCTCAACATTATCATTTCTTCTAGAGAAGGGGAATGATGTGAAATACTAACATCCCTGTTTCACGTAAAGTAGACAAAAAGCCCCTGTGAATAACTTTCACTTTGTGTAGATTTTAGCGCCCCTTGTGGACAAAGTGAAACATTGTATACCTTTGCTGATCTTGACCTGCTCATATGTTGACAAAGTTTCACCATGCTTTCTTTAAACAGTCAAACGTTTCACTCACTGTTTTGGCAGCGTAGTGTTTATCGCCTTGGATGACACCTACCCTGCAGCATCCTGAAAAAATGACAATATAGCTTTTTCTGTGATGTATTCTAACTATGTGATGTTTTAATGGTGACCTGCCGAGGGACTGCTGATGTGAAGTAGTTTTAAGCTTATTCTGGTGGAATGCATCAAATGGCAACATGTTTGTTTATTATTGTACATGGTCCCTTTACAAATAACATTAATTCAATTTAATTAAGACTAATAAATCTTGTAGTTGATGGCCTTGTTAGCTTTTGTAGTATTCATTTCAGTCTGTTTCATTACACGATAAAAACTCCTCACCGGAGCTTTAATATTGCACATATACAGCGGAATGAGAAAGATGATGTCACTTATTAAAAGGAATCCAACTCTTTTATTCTGGCTTAAGAAAATTGCACTTTTTGTGTAAGTAAAGTTTTTTTTTTGCAAATTGTTTGTGACAATCTTAGATGTAGAATGGATCGTCATTTTGACTACTAAAAACACAATATAACAATCTTTGCAAACAAAAAAACAACTCATGACACAATGAACTAAAAATATTGTGATTATTACTCAAAATTGTAACTTGATTCTTACTTCCTCTAGTTTAACAGCCCAAGTGTGCATTACGCCTCCCATCTGCAGTTAATAGTTTTATATGCATCATTTTAAGATTTAAAATTTAGCTGACTTCATCCCACAGCTAGGAGTCAAGAGTATATTAAAGCATTTGGAGAAAAGGCATGTGATATTTCAGAGCTTATCTCCTCACAGCAGCCATGCTGACCAAGTATGGAAACTTGGATCAAGGGATCTGTCTACTGACTGTTTACATTTCTCTCATTGTTTCTGCGTCATCAAGTAGCCAAAGCATTCATTACCTCAGCCGCTACTGCTCTTCTCCCTACCAGCTGATGAAGAGGAGTGGACAAGTACCAAGAAAGAGGCGGAAGCAGTTATTAATGGCAGAGAAACAGTGGAACAATCAGTGGCTAGAGACCCCACCCTGATCCCTGCCCCGGTCCAGAAACATGTTCTTCTTCTCTGGTTTGAGGCAGCACACACAAACACTCACACACACAAAAACACATAAACAGCGTCACACTACTTTTCCATGTGTTGTCCATACTTGAAAGTGTTCAAGGGATGTCAACAAACATGTTTTGGAAGATCATGTTGGCTGCCAGAGGCAAAGCCTGTTCCCATGAACAACAACCTCATAATGATGGTGCATTTCTGTTTGTTTAGAAGAATCCCTGTCAGATCTAATAAAGTATATGAGCACATTAAATAGCTTCAGGAGAATTCCTGAGGCTGACATATGTACTGTATACCTTTGATGTTTTGTTCTCTGCTGGGTAGACCAATATCCTCTCATTCCAAACATGCAGGGTTCAATATGAAATATTTTGTTTCAGGAAACATGTTTTCAGTTGTCTGGAAGTTGAATTAACCTGAATGTTAAGATGTTGAGCAATATGACTCAAACTGCAGTCTTACAGCAGGTAGCAGTACTTTTAGTTGAGTGAATCAGTGCTGCCACCTGCTGTTGGTCTTTCAGTACAAGTAACTAGAAGCACACTTGGCCATACAACACAGCCCTGTACCCTTCTTTTTGAAAACTGGGGTGTCTTCTTTTTGGGATGGAGTGGTCATTTGAAGAACATTTATTGAAATAGAATAGGGCAGTGTAACATGGACAATGGTTACATCTGCACAGAAGACAGCTTGTAATCATTCTGAACATTATAAATCAATCTTAATATTATATTTTTATGAAAATGCAAAAGGAATTTGAACCTGAAATCAAGCATGTCAGAAAAATCGTTATTGAATGAATGAAAAAAGGAACTTTGTGTTAGCGATGATTTTGGAGCGACTATTTGCCCTAAATTTTAAATAAAAACTTTGCACATCTATTCATAAAACAGGTGCATAGGATAAAAATGCACATTGTACTTGCATTGAACTTACTGACAATGTGTCGGGACTAAAAACTTTGCAAGTTAATGTGCAGGAGTTTTTTATGCAATTTTTTTAAATACTCTAAATTGTGACTTTGAACATACAGCTTCTTTTTGTGTCAATAAAATGTAAGCTAATGATGCCATTATTTTGTGTATAAAAGTGGATATGATTGGTGAGGTTAGAAAGGGAAAATAATTGATATTTGTGTGGCAACTTTCTACAAGTTTCCTCATTACAGCAAAGTTTGAAATGATGGCAATTAAGCAATATCAATATCAATATCAATATCAATGTGAAGGAAAGATGTTGCACTGTATATCAGCACTGCTGTGATTTGTTCAAAGATAATGAGAGTGATATTGCTTTTATGCAGTTACACAAGCGGCTTGATTGATTGATTAATAAAGACAAACGCTGTCTGCTGTAATGGTAACTGACTGTGTTCAGTACACCTGGCTTAGGCGGAGAGATACACTTCTGGAAACAGCACTCATGAAATGCTTCATGCCTAGATTGCTTGAACTAAGTTTTTGTATGGAAAAAGTTACAGAACACCATCAAGTCATAATAATTTCATTGGTTTTATTTTTGTTTTACGTCTATTAAAATGCCTACTCCTGAAAAAGAAATCCTTATAGCAAGAAAATGACTTTAATGAAACATAATAAGAAGAGCTCAACAAAGGGAGAAGAAGCAGCGGCAGACGTCAAATCTTCAGTAGATCAGTCAAGACTGCCTTCTGTTTGTCCTCCGTTCAAAGTGGTATTGTCCTGTGTTGTTGTTTTTAATGAACAAACTGTGTCTGTCTCCCTCTAGCGCTGGTTCGTTCCTCTCCTGCATTCACACATTCTGTAGGCACATATGTAGAAAATACCTGCAACAGACAGAGGCAATGTTCAGTATATGGTTAGCCCAGAACGAGTGTGTGAACACAAAGTTATAATTTAAAAAGTCCTGTTTTATTATAGTTTCAACTAATGTCTGCAAAGGTGATATTGATTTGATGATAATTTCTTCAGATAACTTTATTTCAGTGTGATCCAAAATATGTAGTAAAAATATTATTGTCTGTAATATTTCATAGTAAGTTATGTGTTTAGCTTTGAGTCGTATAAGGTTTATGTTTAAACATTGACTCCCAGTCTTTTTGATTTTTACCTGCAAAAAAGGTCATGAGCATGGCCACCCAGCCAAGTATGTAAGACCAGGAGAAGCGCCAGTCACCAAATCGCCTCCCCAGGAAGTTGACAGTCACTCCGGTGTAAATGGCCATACCCAGCAGAACAAAGAAAGCTAAAGGTGTGAAAGGGAAGAGCAGGTCCGTTATGATTAAGCTAAGTATAAAAGAGTGTGTCGATTCAGAGGAGACGAGACTCACTGGAGACGAAAAACATGATCCCTGCAGCGAAGGAGCGGTTGAACCTCTCAAAGGAGGAGAAGTGGGAGAAGGACATGAGGCCAGCGATGATGCCTGCGAAGCATGACATCCCAGACAGGATCATGAAGGCCCTGGTGGCATTCCAGTAAGCTGAGAGGAGACAGGGAGAAATCATAAAACTAACATTTTAATCAATACTGGCTGAATATGGTCTTCTTCTAATGAAAGCTTACATGTATTGGTCTGTGTGCAGGCACGTTTAATTTTTTTTATCCAAATAGTAAAAAAATAATCATTCCAAAACTTAAGAGAACACAGTTGCCTCCAGGAAATCGCTAAATATTTATGGACCCAACCAAACCTTAAACAACTATTATCAACACTTGAATTAAACTTGTAATGTTTTCAAATGTGTTTTTGTCCTCATAATAGACAACAGATAATGGATGGATGATGATGTGAAAGTGAGCCAAGGGTATCTATCCACATACAGCACACGTTACAATTTGTGTATCAGAAAATACATTTTCCAATTAATAGATACATTAAAAAATATAATATATGTTGATAATATATACACAAATATTGTACTTATACATATATATATATAAATATATAAATATATAAATATATATATATATATATATATAGCCTAATTTTATGTTTTAGATGAAGACATTTTGTCAATATATCAGTCTGAATATTATCTCATTCTCAGCAACTAAACAAAATCTCACTCTGAAATCTTAAGTAGCAGACAGCATAAATGGCATCCAATGGCATTTTGTAATTTTTGAGTACAGGGACAATGTTAAATGTCTTGGACACAACCACATTGCTATCCAGACAAATCTTATGAAGTCACACTAAAGCACCACAGAACAACCGAAATACAAATCTGTTCATGCTTTGGATTATTTTTGTGTTCGTTTTTGTGTCTGTCCCACACACACTCGCACACTCGCGCACACACACACACACACACACACACACACACACACACACACACACACACACACACACACACACACACACACACACACACAAAAAAAACCCTCAGCTGAGGATCTTACCTATGCTGTCAGTCTGCATGTAGCACTTGTTGGACATGCAGTACCTCCACAGACCCTGGTGGGCATAGTTACCAGACAGACGGTACTGCATCCAGTAGTCGGTTGCAGTGGAGACAACCAACAGGATATTGCCAACAATAGCACAGAACAGACCCCCACCCATAAAGCTGTACATCTTGAGCTGTGATAATGGGGCCACTGCAGAGCAACTGTGAGAAAGGGAGACAAATGAACATTATGGGTACAATACTAATTGTATCTTTTAATATTCATATATAACACACATTTCCAAATACACTCTTTGCGTCTCAAGACCAATTTAAATTGTTTCTCACAAGGTTTACACAAATACTGTCTCAAGGTCATCCACTTAGAAGGCTGAATATATAACTAATAAAATAACCACACTCTATGACTGAAGTTTGTATCTTTAAAAATCTATAAATACTCAACACTTCCATACAGATTCACAGATAACACTTTAGTGCTAATGAAATATAACCAGCCTAATCAAGCTCATGATTGTCCATGAGGAGCTCTGTCTGGAAACTCAATTTAAAAGATGCCAGCCAATTATAGACATTCCTTCAAAAGGAAAACCAGAGAATTGCAAAACCTGAAAACTGTCCAATGAAAAATGAAGCACAGTGGATCCCTAAAAATGTTTCATCAAACATATATTTACCTATTTTTTCGTGAACACATCACAATTAGATGTAAAGGTACAAATGGAAACCACGGTAAAAGCTGTATAACGTTGCAATTTGTTGTTGTTCCCCTTGCCAAGCTTCATGCCACAGCAGTACTTGTTCAGTAGTAATCAGGTTTTATCTGATTCTGTCCACCTCTATTCAGTCACTGTCATCACAAATGAAAATGTATCATTCTAGGATGCAGACAAAAAAAACAGCCTGAAATTTGATCCCTTACCTTGTTTCTGGAAATGCACCCTATCCTCTCCGAGGTAGTGGTAGAAAAGGGTGGAGGGGGAAAGAGAGAGATAGGGTGCGAAAGCGCTGTTGCTCACTCGGGGGGGGGGGAAGAGAGAGGGAGTCAGAGACAATACTTCACCCACAAAAGTTGTCCCCTCGTTTTTTCTGTTGATGAAAGCAAAATCGCATGCAGCATCTGTCTCCCTGTGTGGGATGAACTTGAATGAGACACTGAAGGGGCCACAGTGCATGTGACCCTGTAGATGTGTGTGTGTGTGTGTGTGTGTGTGTGTGTGTGTGTGTGTGTGTGTGTGTGTGTGTGTGTGTGTGTGTGTGTGTGTGTGTTGAGTGCGTGTGTGAGGCTTTGAAATATAGGTGTTAGTTCATGTTTCTCTTTTGGGGTTTTGTTTGTTTGTAAATGGTGTGCTCTAGAACGGGGTATGTGCAAAGGTATGCAGGACTGTCTGTGTCAATGCGACATGCTGAAACACACACTTTTCTTTCAGCACTGTCACTCTGTGGCAACGTGCAGGGACACATATGGAGGCAGCGCTCTATGCAGGCAATGTCTCTAAAACTTTTCTATAGTATTTTTTTTTTACTAATATTAAATTTAACACTGTATTGAGGTAAACATTTAGAAAATTAAAATTGCAGCAATTCATTTAACTTACATAAATAGTGTAACAAAAGCATACTCACACTCAAACATTTTCTCTTTTCAAGAGCGAAACAGATGTTTCTTTCAAAATCTTGTTACTAGAAAACAATCAACAATGTACAATATTGTATGTTTATTCTTTGACATTCAAGAATACCCCCAAGATTAAATCTGTAACATCAGCTCCATTAGTGTTTCAGTCTTTCTATCTACAAAAATAGTGAGAATTGACTCCAAATGATGAACCAATTGCGAAAGGGATGAGCCAATTAAAAAAGGATTTAAAGCTAATCCAGTGAAATGTTTGTGTCCAAAAGATTAGAGCTGAGGCTTTACTGAGCAGCTTCCACATGTGTGCATTTGGAGTTAGAAAGTGAGCAGGAAAAAAAGCAACAACAAAAAAAGCAAAAAAAACCCCACAAAAGTTAAAGACAAACTATATTGAGAATAGCTGTTACTGGAATATCTGTTTGGACACTCCCCTCTGGCCAAACTCAAGTTCAGAGGGGAGTGTAGGTGACTACTGAAGGGGTCAGCAACCATCAAACAGGCAGAAATTACATTATTCTTTAAATTCTAACTGTATTGTACTATACTTCTACTCACCCTGAACCCTTAAAATGAGCCTAACTATTAGCGACCATTAGCGTGTATTTATAATAATAGCCTAATCATTTTTATATTGTAATCATGATTATATAGGCTATATACATATAAAGCTATTTCCTTTAAAAAGTTACTAAATGCTTCACAAGTGGCTTAAAATACACAACATTCTAAGTATAGAAAAATACATGTTATTTGTATTAACCACATTGTTATTATTATTAAGATTTAGCAGCTTACATTTGATGTGGACAGCATGGTCATAAAAGAAGTTCGCAAAGCATCATGCAGTACTTGCCACAAAGAGATAAAGTTAAAATATTAAACAGTCGTCTTGATGGACCTCCCCGGAGCACTCCATTTTTCACAAGTTCTTACGCATTTACCTGTAAGTTTGAACAAAAATATGATGATAAAGACACATTAAGTACTTAATGCAAATAAAATAGACTATAGGTTTTTGCACATCTTTAAAATTTGTCACAGCCATTAAACTTTCAGTAGGCTCTGGGGTAAAATAAATCAACAAACTTTCTTGATAAAATGATATTTATTTATTTAGAGTTTGTATTCAAGCAATATCAATAACATGTTTTGAGATATTCATTTACAGGCGGCTTCTTCATAAAACCTGAAAAAAAACTTGATAAAGCAAAAGAAATTGTCCATGAGGAGCTCTGTCTGGAAACTCAATTTAAAAGATGCCAGCCAATTATAGACATTTCTTCAAAAGGAAAACCAGAGAATTGCAAAACCTGAAAACTGCCCAATGAAAAATGAAGCACAGTGGATCCCTAAAAATGTTTCATCAAACATATATTTACCTATTTTTAGGTACAGGGAAAACAGACAGTATCTTAAGACCTTCTTGAGATAAGCAAACAGGTAAGGAACCATGGGAACCATGAGAACTCTGATATTCGTTCTGGAAAGAGGTTTGACCTCTTATGACCCGGAAGCTGACGCCAGACCCGAGCTGTTCCATCGGCGGAGTAAAGATGGCTGACCAAGGCGCCGCAGATCCTGGAAATAACAACAATAATAAACCTGAGTCATCGGAGGGAACTATTATAAAAGTCACAGTAAAAACCCCTAAAGACAAAGAAGAAATCGCTATCGCAGAAGATGCTTCTGTCACTCAGGTTTGTAGATTTCTCAGCTGGCGGTTCAGCGCCGTGCTCTAACGTCATGCCCACAACTTCAGCTAGGAGGCTAGTTAGCCGCGTTAGCATGTGTCGTCTCACTTACCGGCTAACTCATTGTGTGTGGACTTACGGGGTTTGTGTGTAGTGAACATGTGGCTGGTTGTGTCAACAGGAGTTGTCTGTTATTCGTGTTGTTGACGCTGAATATAGATGTTTAACCTCGTTACATATGAAGAGGCTAACCGGTTAGCCAGCTAACGTTAGCTAGTTAGCTTGTGAGCTCAGCGAACATTAGCGAAGCCAAACAAGTGTCAGCTGATGGGAGACGCGTTTGCTCTGCCTAACGTAACAGCCACAAGCATAAAACACCAGATAGAACAATGGAAGGGCTATCAAATGAAAGCTACGCCACTTTCATTTCCCCCTTTTAGCTTCACAGCTTTTGAAAGCTGCTACAGATTGCTATCAGTCTAGAAGCTTCTCACTGAGTCATTCAGCTTTCTGGGGAATATCGAGTCAGAACTACTGTCGTCTTGACGACGTGTTACCAAGACCCCACAGAGCAATTAGTGGAGCAACACTGAATCTGCCTGGTCGAGCTTTTATCTTTAATGTGTGGTCTGGTTGTGTGTGTGTGTGTGTGTTCATGATCAAACATTTGAGTTAACTCATCCTCTAACCTCCAGAAGTCAGTGCTGTCATCTAACCTGTCTGCAACTTCATGTTTGATAAGCCCCCAACATCAAAAGAACAAAAAAACATAAACCAAACAAGCAAAGAGGTATACTTAAAATGTGTACTTTCAAAAAGAGAAATATGTTGAAGAAATACACACACAGTTTTTGTGATTTTAATTAGACAATTCTGCATTGGATCAATTTTTGTTTGATGGTTAGTGTTTCATAAGAAGCTCTATGGAAACCAGTGTAACCAGTGTATTGGTGGATAAAGAATGCTGTACATCAGGGGTGGGCAACTGGCGGCCACATGCGGCCCCCATCAACCCTCAATGTGGCCCTCAGGTCAATTTTTACATATCAATTAATTGGAAACATGAAGAAAACAAGCTAAAATCTGCCATGAAATCATGAAAACCAGAACTATGTCCATGATAATATTTGATCACTGGTATATGTTGCGTTAAATTTGAGACATAATTGACTGTAATCGTGTTTTGTATGCTACAATTTGGCCCTGTGGCAGTGAGAATTAAATGAATGTGGCCCTTGCTGTGAATGAAGTTGCCCATCCCTCCTGTACATATATAAACAAGACAACTTCAGAAGGTCAACAGTTTTTTATTTTTTATATTCAGGTCTAATTACATTTTTTTACAATTTTTTTTCCCTCAACTGTTTATAGGTTCTTGCTTTAAATTACACATATATTTTTTTATCCCTGCACGGGTTATGTACATTTCTTGTGTAAGTCTATTTTTAATTGCACAGTTTAAGTTTGTTTCATCCAGGGGTATTCTTTAAATCTTTTTTCGGGTTAATATATATGTATGGGAGGGGGGGGCGTCGGTTTTGTGGTTTAATTTGTAACAAATGTTCCATGTCATGTACGTCTTTGTAACCTGCTGCTTTGAATTTCCCTCGGGATCAATAAAGTATCTATCTATCTATCTATCTATCTATCTATCTATCTATCATATATCTATCTATCTATGTCATCTGAATAACAAATGTGTCACTAAATGCTGCTCTTTTCTTTGAAGTGTTACTGCTAGACTATTTCAGTACTACAAGTAGCTGATTGTAAAAGTAAAAAATGAAAGAAACAGAAGAAAGCAGCCACCTTAAGGATGAGGGCATTTACTGTGCTAACCATGTCTCAAATAGTAGTTAAAGA